CAGAGCAGTCGTCCCAACTTTGACTGTTCGGTCAGGACGTGAGTCGTCTAAGATCAGGTCCGCATGCTCACCAGCCGGCTGAGGGCGGAACTCATCCGACCGCTCCTCTGCCACTGATTGCTATTTTCTTTCTTTTCTTGCGGCCCCTGTCTGGGATGCCTTTCTCTTCTTGCCGCCTGCTTCTTGAACAGGCGCACTGTCCTTGACATTGTCAAGGTCTGTTTTTTCACCGCTTGACCCAGTGGCCATAACAGTGGGCTTGATATCCGAGAGATAGCACTCTCAGGCCATCCTCTGATCTCCCCTTAGGGAGCCGACTGTTCCATTATCCCTCTCAAACTTGAGCAACATAAGAGATGGGATTATAACAGCCTTGGAATTATTCAGGGTTGGTCGACCCAGAATCATGTTTTAGGCCGAGAGTTCTTCTACTACCAGGAACCGGACTACCATGTGTCGTCCTTCCCCTTTTTCGCCCAGGCGGATGGGTAAATACACTCGTCCCAGTGGGTGGACGACTCCTCCTCCAAACCCTACTAAAGGGTGGGGGGCCGGATGTATGCAATCAGTCTGATATTTTAGTTTCGACAGACATTTGCTACTGATGAGATCTGAGGAGCTTCCGGTATCTATGAGGATTTGGACAACTCTCTGGTTGGCCACTTTACATTCAATAACGATAGGGTCGTCATGCGGCCCTCTTACCCCTCCTAGATCTTCTTCAGTGATGACAATCTCAGGAAATGAATATTTGGACGGCCGTTCTTGTTGAACGGAATTTACATATAACCGCCTGATATTGTCTTTGTTGCCCCTAATAGTGGGGCCGCCTCCTGAGAAGCCGCCTGCAATGGTGTAGACGACTGCATCATCTGTATCGGAGCTGTCAGCCTATTGATTCTTTTTGGCCGACTGATTTTTTTAGGAAGTGTTCCCCGTAGATTTCTTGACATAAGTGTCAAGATCACCTTGCTCAGTCAGGCGGTCCAGATACCGCATGAGACTGATGCAGTCATTGGTGTGATGACCAACATCATCATGATAAGCACAGAATTTATCTTGGTTCCGGTTGTTTGCAGAACCCTTCATGGGGACCGGCTTCTCAATTGAGATCCGTCCCTTGATTTCTTTTAGGATAAACTGGTTATCCTTGTTAAACGCATACTTTGGGGAGTATGGTTTGAATTCTTTTTTCTTTTTCTGGGCCGGCTGTTTAGAAGAATCAGCCGCCCAGACCTCTTTTCTCTTCTCATCTTTGTTTGACGACTGATTCTGTCGTCCTTCTCTTTTGTCGAACCTTTTCCCGTCCGACTGTTTTACCGTACAAAGATCAGTCGCCTGTATATAGGCTTCTGCTTCAATCAAGGCCTCTTGAAGAGTCGCCACCCTCTTTCGAACCAAATCAAATTTGAAGGTAGACCCGTCTTTGAGACCTCTGAAAATGTCAGTATAGGCTACCTCATCCGGTAACCCTTGAATCTGTATTCTCATCAGGTTAAACCGCCTGATGTAAGAACGAAGCCCCTCCTTCTCGCCCTGCTGAATTGTTCCTAAATCAAGGGTCGTTTTCTTCGCAGGGATGTTCATGGCGAAGTTGGAGGTGAATAGGTAAGCAAGCGTCCTGAAGCTATTTACACAACCAGTCGGCAGGTTGCCGAACCATTGTTGTGCGATTCCTTTCAGAGTCGCTGGGAAACACTTGCACCAAGTGGGATCATCCAACCCTTGAAGGTACATCAGGTTGGTGAATGCCATCAGATGGTCTTCTGGGTTAGTAGTGCCGTCATAGGCGCCTACTAGTACATTTTTCACTTTGGCCGGCTGAGCGGCTTCAGTAATTTCCTTGGAGAAGGCCGACGGCTGTTCACCAAGTCTAAGCAACCGTAGCTGCCAGTCCATAGGTTGGACGTTTTTTGCTGCAGGTCCACCAAACGGAGGTGGCTGCAAAAAATACTGTTGTTGCGGCACAAATGGTAAGTTTGGTACCGCCTGGTCGCTATGAAAGCTGGTCTGACGGGAGGTGCCGCCTGACTGACTCTCATGATACGACTGAGTATGCCTCATCAAGGCATTTCGCAGACTGTCTTGAAAGTTTGAAGTAGAGGCCGACTCTGACAATCGGTCACTCTTCTTCTGCTCTAGCAGTAGCCGAGCGTCTGTGAATGTTTGCTTCGACCCGTCCGCCTGAATATGACGAACAGGTTTCCTATTTCCTGTAGGAAAACGGAATTTTGTGAAATCAAGGGCAGGTGGCTCCCGCTTCCTAGATTTAGGATGAGGAGTCGCCTCTCGCCCTTGAACTGGCTTCCTCTTCAGTGAAGTGGAGGGTTTCTTAGCCGACTGCTCCTTGACTGGAGCAGGCGGCTTCTTGTTGATCAACTCTTGAATCTCTCCCTTGAAGTCCCTCATGAAGGTCATGAGTTCGTTCCTTGTGATGGGAGCAGACCCATCAATCGGCTATTGCCGAACAGGCGGTGCGCCTGCTGGCTCACTTCCAGTTTGAAGATGTTCCCGTTCCCTCCTTTCGGTATGACGGGTACGTCGGGCCCTTAGGGTCCCGTCTGAAGCTGTGTGAGCTTCAACTTCAAATTCACTCTCGGTATCATGGTCCGACTGAACTTGAGGGTCGTCTAGGGGACGCCTCTCTTCAGGAGTCGGTACAGACTTGGATGCCATCTCAGAAGTACTCTCCCCACAGACGGCGCCAAATATTTCGGGGTTTTCTGATGTCCTGCGGGAGAGTTACAATTCCGAGACTGGAACCGGACGCCTGTGCCTGCAAAATAACGGAGACTCCTGGGAGCTCCGCCTCCAACGGTCAAGTTAGTACTTGATTAAGGAGTAATTAATGCGAAAATTAAAGTGATTGGGTCTCTCTAGGTGAGAGTGTTTAATGTAGGTAATCTGCTTTGTTAGCGAGATCAGCCGGTTATTACTGTGTGTAATTAATGTGTTTTTTCCGTTCTCCCCCTTAATGAGGATTAAGGGAGGTATTTATAACCTTGGGAAACGTGCCCATCCTAGGTTTAGGTTAACCTAGGGCTGACTGGGCTTCCCTCGGAAGTTGGGCCTGGGTGGCCGGTTTCTCCATTAGGCATGGAGTATGCCACATGTCATGACATAATAGGTCCAAGGTGGACGAATAAGCGCGTACCACGTGGCAAGCCCTGACAGTTCCAACTGGGGGACACTTGGCAGGACCTGATTGGCCCACGTGGCGCATTCCGATTGGTGGGTGCAAAATCCCCTAATCAACTAGGGTTTGCTTAGATAACAATAAACCCTAGATCTAGAATATTCCGGAATGATATAAGGAGGATAATGGATATCCACAAATATTTCATAACATTATCGATTTTTCCTCATTTAAAAAAAATTTTCAAAAGGAACTTAGACAGTCTTTCATACCATGCTTTAGGAACTTGCTTTAGTCCATAAAGGGTCTTATCAAGCTTGTAAACATGGTTTGGGAACTCTGGATTTTCGAATCCAGGAGGCTGTTCCACATAGACGTCTTCCTCAAGAAATCCATTAAAAGACGCACACTTGACGTCCATCTGGTACAGTCTAAATCCCATAAAAGCAGCAAAATTTATGTGTAAACGAATGGCTTCTAACCTTGCAACTGCAGCAAATGTCTCATCATAATCTATGCCTTCTTGTTGGTTGAAACCTTGAACACCAGTCTTGCTTTATTTCTGACTATAATGACATGTTCATCTAGTTTGTTTCTGAACACCCACGTGTTTAATAGCAGTAACCATAATAAATGGCTCTAACAGTGACCCTGTTCAATTTAAAGTGGAGTATTGTTAGATTCGTCTTGAGGTGTAGTTTCCAAATATCTATTTGTTAGTATTAATACGAAATTTCAAGTACAACGTATTTTAATTTACAATAATCAACCACATGTAAGAAAATCTACCTATCTTGGTTTGAATTATATTTCTAGTATATTATTAGTCTGAAATAAAAAAATTACTACTATTTGTAAGTTTTTAAAATAATGTGAAGCACTAGCCATAATCTTAATTTGTTTTCCACATTCAGGTTTATAGTTTTCAAAAATACGAAAGTGAAAACAAACAAGCCCTTTAATCAATATCTTCGTAACTTTATGAAAATGGAAAAATCTTATACAAAGTACGTATATAAATAAAAGAGTAATTTTCTTAAGTTTTAACCACCACCGTACCCACCAAAGTAACCTTAATTAATCTCGAATTTTGCACTCACTTTATTTAAAATAACAAAGATCATATATTACGAGTAAACCATTGATTTTCTGTTTTCCTTTGCAAATTTGATATGATATGCATTAGTATGAGTACAATCCAATACTCTTAAAGGACATGAAAATTAAAATGACATGAACGAACTCTTCTTTTATAGTAAATTTTCAAGAGATAATATATTAGAATAATTAGAAATACTCTTAAAAGAGAAGAAAAAAATTATGCATGAACGAAATCTTTTGTAGTAAATCAGAATTACCTAAACACAGTTGTCAACAAGTCATTAAAGAGAAGTTGCAATAATGGTGTCTTCACATCATCATCATATATACATATGTAAGCATGTTTCAATGATGTTAAATCCTAGTATATATTCATCACTTCATCAACAATCATGCATCATGAAAGTATTTTGCTACCTACTTACAATTTTTAATCACTATAATCCATACAAATTTGGTGGAAAGAAATATAATATTAATTTAAATATTTGCTAAAAAAAACAAGAAAAAGTCAAGTTAATCATATATTTTAGCTATAAAAAAATGGTTCACATGTGCCTTAGAGATATAGATGAGGATAGATTATTATTGAGCATACCTATAATAATCAACTTGGTTAGGCTGCGCTACAGTATTATTGTGTCAACTTGCCGGATGACCATTATCCAAATTATTACCAAAATCAAAATTAGAATAGTTTGGTTGACTCATATATATGAGATATTTATTGATCAATTATACTTTTATGTGTTAGGTGAACTTCAATTATTATATATTAATCACTTGTATTGCATAAAATTAGAGTCGTATACAAATTTTCTGGAGTTTCAGGAGAAGAAAAAAGGCAGCAAAATGGAGTCAAGTGGAGACATCAATAATAATGGCAAAGGAGGGTGGCTCAGTTATGGTTGCTGCTTTTAGAAATATGAAAATGGTCAAACCAGCAAATGGAGAAGATTGTTATCTTCATGAAAGTGAGGATTCAAAACTTACATATGGAGAGCCAAGTAAAAGTCTCAGGTATGCTTTTAACTACTTAATTATGTTTTACATGAATAATTGTCCATATACATTATTAATTGTTATCATATATATTTGCTTTTCATATATGTCCCATATTTATCCACTTCCTTTGATGGTTATATTCCAATTTAAAGGAGGGGTGGATGAGATTTGAACTCGTGACCTTTGTGTCACGCTGACTCCGATACCATGTTAAGAAACCATCTCAACTAAAAGCATAAGCTGATGGTTGAGGTCCGGAAATATATTTTTATACTCTATCATAAATAGTTCAGAAAAAATATGATCATGTGAGATCTTGCTAGATTCGTTTCAATTTATAATTTTTAGATATTGGTCATTAAAGATATTATTAGTGATTAAAATCATGCATTGACAAACGTGAAATGAGAAGGATTGTAAGATAAGTAAAAAAAACAAAAGAAGTATATATTTTATAATGCATATAGTAAGGAGACGTATCCTGCTAAGCTAAACCAAAATCTCTACATATATACAAGTCTACTAGACTCAACTTAGCAGCCTAGAATGAGGTTGTCTGAATCAATAATTGCTCATATCTTCAATGACAATGACAAAGTCCCGTTGGTATTTTTAGATTTCATGTTGGTATAATTACTATACCAATATGTGGTCTAAATATATCAACAAGTTTTTTGGTATTTTTAGACTTTATGTTGGTACAATTACTATACCAACATGAGGTATAAATTTACCAACAAACACTTGTTATTGTCATTCATTACAATAGTAATTATGGGCATGGACTTCCTCGTCTAGAATGCTATACCAATTGTCACTTAGCTAAGTTGAGTGGGTTTAATTTGTATGAGATTAGCATGTAATTTAATATATTATACCACTAGACCAAGTATCATCAAAATGTTGTTTATAAAAACATCTAAGACTATTAATTGTGATGGTGAGATTTGGTGAGTAGCTAATTATAAAGTTTCAAAGACTACTACTACTAGTTTAATTTTAATTTGATGAATAATCATAAACATGCTATTAACTTGATTTTATACATTATGTTGAAGGTTTTTAAACAAAGCAGCGTACATAAAACAAGGAGATAACCATGTAAACGGCACCAAAACAAAATCATGGAGCCAATGCACCGTCGAAGAAGTAGAAGACTTAAAGAAGCTAATCAAAATAATACCATTATGGTCAAGTAGCATCCTACTAAGTGGTGCAATGGGAGTTATCATTAGTTTCACAGTGCTAATGGCATTAGTCATGGATAGACAAGTCGGCTCTCATTTCAAAATCCCAGCCGGAACTTTCACAGTCGTCACCCTTGTATTCACTGCAATCACATCCTCTGCACTTGATCGATTCATATACCCTACATACAAAAAATTAACTGGTCGACGTTTAACATATTTACAAGGAATCGGAATTTGTCATGTTACCAACATTCTTGCCGCGATAGCCTTTGCCCTAATTGAAAGAAGACGACTCAAATTAATTGAAATATACCATTTAATGGACCAACCAAACGCCGTGGCACCATTATCCGCCTTATGGCTAATATTTCCATTAGCCATAATGGGGATTGGAGAAGGGTTTTACTTTTCGCCGGAGGTGGCATTGTACTATCAAGAATTTCCTAAATCACTAAGAAGTACCTCGACTGCTATGATCTCATTGCATATCGCGGCTGGTTATTACCTTAGCTCGGCGTTTATCGATTTGGTAGGGCAAATGAGCTCTTGGCTACCAAATGATATAAACTTAGGTAGGGTTGATTATGCTTGTTGGGTTCTTGCAATTATTGCAACTGTGAACTTTGCTTACTTTCTTTTATGTGCCATATTATACAAGTATAATAATCCTGATCCAGCATTAGATGATGCTAATCTTGTACATACTTAGCTAGTTGAGAAATAACTCACTTTATTAATATGTTTAACATTTTTTTATTACAATCTTATTCTTAATTTAGAATAATGCCTTAAACAGATCATGTACGACGTATTACCAACACATCAATAACTTATGGTTTTTTTAAATTCGTAAGAAATATTTGCTTGTTTGAGATTGAATTGTAGCTACATGGATGTTAAATTTTGTGATATAAATAAAGTTATGCAATATGTATTTTATTTTTATTAAATTTTTTTTTTTTACTCGGAGCACGGTTTATAAGCCATAAATGGATAAACTCCCAATTTTCAATAGGTAAAGATAAGGATAAGGATAATGATGAATGACATTTGTTAAATGCCTAACTCTTAGACCTTAAGATTTTCCCATTTATATACTTCTTTTGCAAATATCAATAGAAAGTTAGCTACTATACACAATTCTTATTTTAGGGTTCGTTTGGCATTGTTGTGGTTTTTTGTTTTTTGGTTTTTTTATTTTCAAAATAATATGATATATGTCATATAATGAATAAAAAATTAGTCAAACTTTTTAAAATCCTGATAATTTAGAATACTGACAACAAAAAAAGTGCATGGAAACACCTTTTTCTTGTTTCCTGTTTTTGGTTTTAAAAAAAACAGAAAACTAAAAACAAAAAACAATGTCAAACAAGCCCTTATGTATGCGTTTTGTTTTTCATTTGCTAAACACCACTCAAAATTAGGCTAGCATTATGAACAAAAGGTGTAAAGGCACTATTTTACCTCATTGATTCTTTTTAAGGCATTATTCAAATAATGTTCTATGAATGTCTTGTGTGATTTATACATTAGGAAAAATATAGTCATTCTTTATTCGTAATGCTAGTCTACTTTTAATCGTATATTTTAGTTCGTCTCTTTCAATTTGCTCCATACTCACTTGTCACTAGAGCTGAAATTTGGGTCGGGTCGTGCCGCCGTGGGCCGGATGAAGGAGCAGGCCGTACCGTGAAGGGCCGAACTGATGGCGGGTCATGCCGTGCCGGGCCGTCAAATTACACACCCTAGCCCACGACATGTGGGCCGCGGGCAAGGCTAGGCTTTTATTTAAAAAAAAAATCGAATAATTTATTATTTATAGTTCTTATATTATTATGATTCTTTTTATTATTGTTATTTTTATTATTAATTTGTTATAGTTTTTTTTATTATTTTATTTTTATTATTTATAGTTCTTTTTATTGTTGATGTTCTTTTTATTATTATAGCTCTTTTTATTATTCTATTTTTTTTTATTAATAATAGTTCTTTATTATTATTTATGTTATTTTTATTTTTATTATTACACTTCTATATTATTATTCAACAAATAGAAACCATGCATACATTTAAAAAATTTACAAGTACTACTTATGAGGATCTAAGTATAGTATAGTAATTAAAAAATAAGGAATACATCTTATTATTATTACTTGAAAGATTGTTTAATTATATGGTTACAACTCATTACTCAAGATTTACTTACTTAAACTCAAGTCTAATATAAGTCGAGACTCAGGAGTAAAGCTTAAAAACAAACTTAGATCATTCTTATCTAATTCAAGGATAATGATAAAGATCGTACAATAATTGATGAATAACTTATTTTATTATACGTTGGGTACGTTAATACAAAAATTATCTATAATTATTAGTATTTCATTCAATTATAGTTCTTCTTCTTCTTCTTCTTCTTCTTCTTCTTCTTCTTCTTCTTCTTCTTCTTCTTCTTCTTCTTCTTCTCATTCAAGGTCATCGCCTAATTGTATTGATTGGGAACTGTTAGAACCCGAACGATTGGAAGCAGAAGTTCCATCATCATTGTCGTTTTGTGCATAAGTACGATCTTGCGAGCGATATTCGTCATCCAACCAATCCTTGAAACACACACACATTTCAAGTGTTTTGGGTTTCATACTTATTCTTCTATCGTCTAAAACCCTTCCTGACGCACTAAAAGCTCGTTCGGAGGCAATAGAGGAGACTTGAATAGCGAAAATATCACGTGTCATTGCCGCCAAAATTAGATGTTTCGTGCTTTCCACCAATCAAGGAGGTCAAGGTCATACTTCGCTTCTTCGTCCATGCCTTTCATGAAGTCATAACTTAAGTACATTTGCAAATCCGAAACATCGCTTTGTGTTCTCTTAGACGATGATTCATTACCTGAAAAATTAGACATCATGTTAGCAGCTTGTGCAAATAAACCTTTGGCCCTTTTACTTACGTTTTTGGATGATTGAGAAGGAGCAAATCGAGAAACGATTCTACATTTAAAATGCAAAAAATTGATTGGTCACATTAGCTTTATAAGACTGAACATCATCATCAAATTGCATGTATTGAAAATAGATATCAATTAATAAAAATGTGCCATCATACTTTTGCCTTGGATCTAATATAGAAGCAAAAATATAAATCATAAGAAGATTTGTATAATATTTATGTCATTTTTCCTCCATTGATGGAAGATATACATCATAATCGTGTTGGGATTGATGTTCAACGAAAAGGTTGGCAAGTAAACATGCATTGCTAAGAAAAGGTTAAGAACAAGGATTATAAATAGAAAAAAAAACAATGTGTCATACTATAATAATTGTAAAAATTGCATATATTTTTTACAATTAGACCAATCTTCTTCTAATAAAGCAAATTGTGTAAACCTTTGATTAAAAAAAACTGTTAGTGGAACCTTGTACTTGATTGCCTTACTCAACATTTCATAGGTTGAGTTTCACCTAGTTGGACAATCCGTTTTGATTTTGATACCCTTTATCTTTTGCTGCCTAAGAAAAGCTTTCCATTCCTGAAATCTCATGTTAGAACTGTTAATAGAAATAATAACATTTCTAATTTTGTGATAAAATGGACCAATTGCATTAGTTCCATCCTTCACACACAAATTAAGAACATGACAAATGCATCTAATATGAAGTGCATCTTCATCTACTATGAAATCGATCAATTGTTGTTTAACTAAATTTGCACTATATGTCATGGATGTTGCATTATCAAAGGTCATAGACATGATTTCGGGCCTAAGATTATATGCATCAATAGCTTACATTAAATGATGATAATATTAGGAGGACAATTCTTCTAGAGATTTTTTTTTGTGTTGGGGTTGTAGTGCTCTATTAATGTACTTGTTAAACGGATTATTTTCGGCGAAAAGAAAAGGTTGTTCAGCATGGACTAACATTCTCCAAAGTTCATCCCTATCCCTCTCATAATTGTAAGTGAAACCATGTGGATGGTGTTGAGAAATTTTGGGGGGGTATTATAGTGTTTGGATTTGGTGATTCCCTACTACTACTAGTACGTACAAATTTGGCTTTTCTAGAGAAGGAGGGGTTCGGTTTGATGTCATGATTAAAAATACTACAATTAATTAAAACAAAAAATTAATAATGAATAACAACAACAACAACAACAACAACAATAATAATAATAACAATAATAATAACAATAAAAATAACAATAATAATAATAACAATAATAATCACAATAACAATAATAAGCTTCGATTGCTTTCCACTAAATAATTTCATGAACTTTTAATTTTTCTTAAGAATTTCGATGATTGAGATTTGAGAGAATTAAATATTATAAGAGATTAGAGAATAAGAGATTATAAGAATAAGAGAATTTAGAATAGATGAGTTGATGAATTAGGGAAAGAAAAAGATGATGAGTTGATGTAGCCGTTAGAAGCAAAAACTAACCATTAAATTAAAGCTGTTGGGAAATATGGTTGTTGCTCGTGTTGGGTTGTGCCTTGCGGGCCGTGCTGACAGGCCAAAATTTCGTGCCGCCACAGGCTCGTGCCCATTTTTTTTGTTCACGACCCAGCCCTCGTTCCTCACTCCTACATTAACCCTGCATGTGATCAACTATTTTCAACCAAAATTCTGATTTCTGTCAAATTGGTGGCGCCTTTTCAAACGGCTACCTGAAAGCAGAAGATGTCGACGGCGAGATTCCTCTTCATAAATGGCGTCCTTTCACCACCTTCCGACACACCGTCGGTCTCCACCTTCCTCGCAACTCACCCAGGTTTTCTCTCTCTCCTCTCTCTCTCTCTCTTCTTCTCTCTTCAACCGTTGAAGCTTAAACCCTAGAAATTCAACAATTTGCAGGTGCTTACACCACTACTCGAACCCACAACAATGGCGAAATCCTCCTCTTCTGGGACCGCCATCTCAAGCGACTCTCCAATTCACTCCAATTCCTGCTTAAATCGAACCCACGCCTTGTTTTTGGGGCCCAATTTTCTGGGTCTTCCTTATTTTCGTCTTCTGTGAATTGGGATTCTTTGATTCTTCGTCGTGTTAACGATGCAATGACGGTTTCGCTGCCAGTTGCGATTAAGGAGAGGGGTACAGGGGAGGAATTGGCGATTTCGACGCTTGTTGGAGGGAATTTCGAGGAATTGAGTGGAATTCAGGGGGGAGATGAGGAGGAGATGATTAATAGGGTGTTGGATGTGTATGTGCATATTGGAATGTATATGCCGCCGGTGTTTGGTGTTGAGGGGAATGCGGCGCGGTTGGCTGTGGTTGGATGTAGGAGGGATTTTGCTGAGGCTAAGTACTCTGATTGGGCAAGGTTTGGATATCTAGTTTTGTTTGTTTGATTCTTAACTGTCTTGTTGTTATTTGTGCTATGTAGTTTTGAACTTTATGTTTTTATTATTATCATCAACATTTGAGTACTTTGGTGTATGTATGAATATGAATGATATGAGGTTGAAAAAGAGAAATGTGTGATATTCTTGTGATACATGGAAATGTGGTTTAGAAGGGTTAAAGAAGCAGAAGTAGCTTTCTACCCCTTTGTTGAATTAGATGATTGCTTAAGGTTTGCCACTGGATTTTGAGACTCAAGGAGACTTATATTCATGTGAAGGGCTAGAAGTAATTGTGAATCAGTTAGGATCAACATCAAAACTTTCGTAAATGTGAGCTTTCATCATGACCGAGTGTACTTAATTATTAGGTGGTACTATATTAGTTGAACTAGAGGCCATGAAACAATATTTGAGCGCCTATTTTCCTCATGT